CACAGCAGAAAGCTGGATGAGAAGAGGGGCAGCCAGGACTGGAACCAGTGCCCATATGGGATGCCAGCACCACAGGCTGAGGATTAACCTACTGCACCACGGCACTGGGCCTCAGTCAGTTTTTTAAAGAAAAGCCTACTAAGTGTTAGGCACTTTCCTAGATGCTTTCTAGATATAATAATGAACAGAAATGTGCCAAGTGTCTCAAGAGTTTAAAATGTGCTAAAGGAATAAAGAGAGATAGACATAGACAGCTGGTAATGCTGGTGGTAGAGTGAGGAAAGGAAAGCTGCTATTTTAAATGGGGGGGAGGAGTCAAGGTAACCCTCTTAGGAAGTGACATCCAAGCAGCAGTGTGAATGAAGTGAAGGAATTGGAAAGACCATCAGAAATCAGGGGCAGGAATATCTGTCTATCTACTTAATTTATTTGAAAGGCAGAGTTACAGAGACAGGGAGAGAAAGAGGTTCTCCAACCCCTGGTTTACTCCCCAAATGGTGGCAATGGCTGGGGCTGGGCCAGTCTGAAGCAGGAGCTAGAGGCTTCTTCTGGGTCTCACATGTGTGTGGCATGTGCCCAAGCACTTGGGCCATACTCTGCTGCTTTCCCAGGCACATTAGCAGGAGCTGGATTGGAAATACAGCAGCTGGGACTCAAACCAGCACCCATGTGGGATACTGGTGCTGCAGGTGGCAGATTAACCCACTGTGCCATCATGCTGGCCCCAGTAATATATTTTACAGGGAATGATGAGTGCACAGCCCTGAGGAGCAGTGTGTTTGGTTGAAGGAGCTACAAGGAAACTGTGACTGGAAGCTGAGTCAGGAAGAGGAGACAGGGCAAGTTACAAGATGAAGTGATAGAGGCAACAGATCATGGAGGACCTTGGGGTCCATGTTCAGATTTTGTGTTTTATTCTGAGATGGGAAGGCCCTAGATTTTCGAGCTGCTCTGGCTGCTGAATAGAGAATAGATTGCATAGAGGCAGGCAGGGATAGAACAGGGAGACCACTTAGAAGGAATTGTAGTAATCCAGGCTGGAGATGATGACAAGTGAAGTACATCATTATCTCCCAGGAAGGTTGGGAGACCCAAATGAGAACATGTCGCTAAAGCTCCTCATACAACCCATTTTGCAGTGTTAGCCTTCAGCACTATCATGGTAACTGCACAGCAGGCCTATGTTCAGAGAATATGTTGATAGACAGTTTTGTCATGGTGCAAAAATCAGAGTGCACTTACACAAACCTAGATGATACGGCCTACTACACACTTAGGCTATGCTCCCAGGCCACAAACTTGTACACTGTGTTCTATCCTGAACACTGTAGGCAGTTGTAATACAGTAGTAGGTATTTGTATATCTAAACATATCTAGATATGGAAAAGCAACAATAAAAATTTTAGACAAAAATTTTTTCAGTTGTATTATAATCTTATGGGACCGCCGTTGTATATGTAATCCATAGTTGATCAAAACATTATCGTATAGGGGCCGGCACTGTGGTGTAGCAGGGAAAGCCACTGCCTGCAGTGCCAGCATCCCTTATGGGCACCGGTTCAAGTCCTGGCTGCCCCACTTCTGATCCAGCTCTCTGCTATGACCTGGGAAAGCAGTGAAGGGTGGCTCAATGCCTTGGGCCCCTGCACCCGAGTAGTGGGAGACCTGGAAGAAGCTCTTGGCTCCTGGCTTTGGATCAGCACAGCTCCAGCTGTTGTAGCCAATTGGGGAGCAAACCAGCAGATGGAAGACCTCTCTCTGTCTCTGCCTCTCTTTTTCTCTCTTTTTCTGACCTTCAAATAAATAAATCTTAAACACACACACACACACACACACACACACATTATTGTGTGGCACATGACTGTAGGTATTAATTCCATCCTTTCCTTGCCATATGCCCTCAGCCATATGTTAGGACCATAATGGGAGGTTACTAAACAGAAATGAACATTTATAAATAAATCTTTAAAAAGTGGGGGGCGACCCTGTGATGTAGTAGGTAAAGCTACTGTCTGCAGTGCCAGCATCCCATATGGGCGCTGGTTCCGGTCCTGGCTGCTCCACTTTTTTGTTTGTTTGTTTTTGACAGGCAGAGTGGACAGTGAGAGAGAGAGACAGACAGAAAGGTCTTCCTTTACCGTTGGTTCACCCTCCAAAGGCCGCTGCGGCCAGTGCACCGCACTGATCTGAAGCCAGGGGCCCGGTGCTTCTCTGGTCTCCCATGCGGGTGCAGGGCCCAAGCACCTGGGCCATCCTCCACTGCACTCCCTGGCCACAGCAGAGAGCTAGACTGGAAGAGGGGTAACCGGGACAGAATCCGGCGCCCCGACTGGGACTAGAACCCGGTGTGCCGGTGCCGCAGGCAGAGGATTAGCCTATTGAGCCGTGGCGCTGGCCTGCTCCACTTTTAATTCAGCTCTCTGCTGTGGCCTGGGAAAACAGTAGAAGAAGTCCCAAGTTGTTGGGTCCCTGCACCCATATTGGAGACCTGGAGGAAGTTCTTGGCTCCTGGCTTTGGATCTGTAGAGCTCCGGCCATTGTGGCCATTTGGGGAGTGAACCAATGGATGGAAGACCTTGCTCTCTCTCTGTAACTCTGCCTTTCAAATAAATAAATAAATAGATAAATCTTTGAAGAAGAAGAAGAGAAAGGAACATTTACAAGGGAAGGGATTATAAATAGTACCTGTGTCATTTGACTGCAGCAGACTTTTTATTTCCGGAGGACAGAGGTTTGGCACACTATGTTCACTCTGTTATCCCACCTGTCAGAGACCTAAAGAAACTGAATCTGTGCCAGAACTCTTGGGCAACTCTATTCTTGTTGAGATACTCAATCCTCAATTCTTTCTGTGGTTGCTATCTTAGATACAGTTTCAGCAGTCACTTTTACAAAGTATCTATTCAGGTACCTGGTCTTGCAAGCTGGAGCTCTCTGATACTCAGCCTGACAAGGTAGTTTCAGAGACCTGAAAGAGCTGTCTAGGAGAAATAAAGAGGTTTTGTGGTCTTTGTTTAACATTCAGTATTTTCCCTGATTAATTTTTTATTGTGATCTGAAGTTAAAAAATGCCACCTTGGTTTCTGGGTTTAGCAATTTGGGAAAGGAAGTTTTATGTATTTTGCAGCATTCTACTTGTTTGAGAAAAGCCTGTTTTGGGGACACAAAGATCTTGCATTGTTTTCTGGACTTGCTTTGCTACAGAAGGCCACTTCAGAGTCTGCTTTCTTGAACTGTACAGATGTGTGTTGGTAAACATCACTGATGAAACCATTCCATCTGACATGTCAGGATCACCTGTCCAAAGAGGGCTGCTAGCAGCCCATCACCTCCTTGTTTTGCTCTGGAAGTTTTGTTTTTTTTTTTTTCTTTTCCTTCTATTTTCTTTCTCGCTTTCCTCTTTCCCTCTGTCTGTCCCACTCACATTCCCTCCCTCTCTCCCTGTCTTTTTCTTGGGCTGTATATGTGGGTGGGGGGGCTTTCCAGGAAGTTCAGTGATGAGATAAGCGAGTAGGAAAGGTGAGTCCCTCCAAATTTCTAAGTAGAATTTGCTTTTAATAGGGATTAATTGTGTCTTATAGATTTTGTTCCTTTTGCCTTTTAATGAGTTCAATCAAGGCCTTTGACCTGGTTATTAAGATGCCTATTGGTTGGCCCTCATCCCATATCAGAGTGTTTGGGTTTGAGTCCCATCTCTACTCCTGATTCCATCTTGCTGCTAATGTGTACCCTGGGAGACAACAGATGGTGGGTGAAGTACTTGGGTCCCTGCCACCAATATGGGAAACCTGGATTAAGTTCATAGCTCCCAGTTTCTGCCTGGTGGAATCCCAGCCTTGTGGGTATTTGGGGAATAAAACAGTACGTAAAAGATATCTGTCTATCTCTCTCAAAAATGTTTTTAAAAAGTGAGATCAGGGTTGAGTGTTTGGCAGAGTGATTAAGATAACACTTGGGGGAGCCGGTGCTGTGGCCTAGCTGGTAAAGCCACTTCCTGTAGTGCTGGCATCCCATATGGATCCCAATTCAAGACCCGGCTGTTCCACTTCTGATCCAGCTCTCTGCTATGGCCTGGGAAATCGGTGGAAGATGGCCCAAGTCCTTGGGCCCCTGCCACCCACATGGGAAGACTCGGAAGAAGTTCCTGGCTCCTGGCTTCGGATCAGCACAGCTCCAGCCATTGCAGCCAATTGGGGAGTGAACCAACGGATGGAAGACCTCTCTCTTTCTCTCTGCCTCTCCTTCTCTCTCTGTGTAGCTCTTTCAAATAAATAAATAAATCCTTAACAACAAAAAAATGTCACTTGAGATACCTGCATCACATATTGGAGTACCTATATTCCTATTCTGACTGCTTCCAATTCCAACTTACTGCTAATGTGCACCTTAGGCGGCAGCAGGTATTGGCTGAAGTGTGTAAGTTCCTGCCACTTAGATGAGAGACTTGGGCTATGTTCCTGGTTCCTGGCTCAGCCTGGCCCAGCCCTGACTGTTGCAGGCATTTAGAGAGTGAACCAGCAAATAAGAGATTTCCTGGGATGTCTGTATCTCTCTTTCCCTTCCCTCTGCCTTTCAAATAAAGAAAATAAAAGCCAACAACAACAAAAACCAGCATAGGGTCCTACCTCTGGAAATGTCTGACTGCTCTGGCCTCCATCCAGGGCAGTAAATGGACTGAACCAGTCCATAAGAGGGCCAGTTCTCTTCGGGAACACTGAGACCTTATAGTGTACCTGCATTTTCCAGTTGTTTTGTCAATATGTATTTTTCCAGTTTTTATTTCTCAAACCTACACATCTGTGCTAACCAAAATATCACTGAATCATAGTAATAGTTGGTAACAAATTGTTGCTACAGATAAAGATGTAGATGTATTTGAACCAACGTGCTGCTAATTAAATTGCTTATCTATCTAAACCTGGGCCTGTGCTGCTCGTATCATATCTTCCTTGAATGAACTGCCTTGTGTTCCATGACCTTGTTTTTGTATTCGTTCCAGTGTGAGCCACTGCCCCTTCTTGTGTTGATGCTGATCTGCCATGCTAGCCTGTCTACCAGGGCCAGGTGACCTGTCCTTTCAGCTTCCTTCTCACACGCAGATGAACACTGGACTTCAGAAATGTAAGTAATAGTTATCTGGATTCCGAGGAAAAATCTGTGTTGATCCTTTGCTTTGTTATATGTTTTGGCTGTTTTGGAAGCCAATGGTACATTGACCTTGAATTTTGGTACCTCTGTGGTATAATTTACCAGAGACAGCATGAAAGCAACTGCAAAGTTTCTACTAGTCAGCAATATGAGAGACCCTTTTCTGATCCATCAGAGATCCTCTTTTTTAAAATTATTTATGTACCTATTTTATTTGAAATGCAGAGTGACAGAGAGAATTTTCCATCCGCTCGTTCACTCCCCAAATGGCTGCCATGGCCAGATTTGGGCCAGGTCAAAGTATCCAGGAGCTTATTCTGGGTCTCCCACATGGGTGGCAGGAGCCCAGGCACTTGAGCCAGCTGCTTTCCCAGGTGCATTAGCAGGGAGCTGGATTGGAAATGGAGCAGCAGGGAATCGAATCAGTGCCCATAAGGGATACTGGTGCTGAAGGCAGTGGCTTAACATGCTAAGCCACAGCATGGAACCCAGAGATCTTTTTAAATGCTACAATTCCCAGCAATAGTTATAAGGAGCCTTATGAGGAATGGAATGAAAATTCACAGTCCAGATTATTTACTGTATCTCTGAAATAAACTACACAGTTGTGTTGTTCTGAGCTTGGGGTCCACTATACCATGGAAAATTCACAGTCCAGATTATTTACTGTATCTCTGAAATAAACTACACAGTTGTGTTGTTCTGAGCTTGGGGTCCACTATACCATGGAAACAGTTTCCTATGTCTTCGCTGGCTGCCTTCTGAGCCAATGTGACTTCAGTTCACAAGTAAAGGAGCTTTTGCCCTCAGACAGGCTGGGCTCTGTGTCTCTGGCATTTTCTTGTGAATATACTTCCTACGAAATTGAGTCATTGAAAACTGTCTATGATTTCTGTCTTAACTGCCTGGAATTAAGCATTATACTTTGTATTTTCCCACGTTGCTGCCTTCTAACCCTGTATTACATGATAGGCAACGAAAAAGATTTCTATTCCTGGTTCATTACCATGGATAGTATCTGTATGTGTAAAAATAGCCCTGAATTTGAAATAGGCCTTCCTTTGAGAGCAAAAAGGGGGAAATCAGTAAGAGCCAGGCTTCCCTTCAGTAGGAAAGGGCGCTTCAGCTTCAGCACCTGCCTGCCTGAATCCTCTATGATGGGTTAGCAAGTTTTTTCTGTAGGTTCTGGATAGCATATATTCTTAGTTTTGTAGGCCATATGTTCTCTGTTGTTTCTACTCAGTTCTGCCATTGTGGAGCAAAGACATATGTAAACAAATGTGTGTAGCTGTGTAAAACTTCTTATCAAAACACAGAGCAGCTGGACGTGACATATGTCCTGACTCCTGTTCTGTGAGGTCGTCATCAGCGGTTAAAAATGGTCTGGCCTCTTCATTTCTCTGAGGGAATTCAAGACTTAGAGCACGGCTAGCTCTGGATTTGCCTGATGAGTCTGACTTTGCAATGACAAAGTTGAAGGTGACAGTCTTGCTTCCAACTCATGGAGCTGCAGGCAAGCTCTGCTATACAGCTTTCTCAACCAGCCTTCCTCGTGGTAGATGATGAGTGTATGACGAAGTTGTATGTGTTCCCTGGCCAACCAAATCAGCGTGCTAACTGCATTGTGCCTACTTCTGAGCTCCTAGGGACTCAGCGAGCCAGAGAGGGAAGCATTCAGTAAGATGACAAAGATAAACTCAGTTTCTTTCTTCTGGTTCCCTTAACACAGTCTGACAGAGTCACCAGAGACAGCTGTGATGTCAAAGGAAGGAAAGGCAAACTGGCAGCTTTATCTTGGTGCTGACATTAGGTCTCTACTTCCTTCTTCCCAAAACACCCACCAAAGAACCTGTGCCAACTACTGTCCCCAGATCTGGATTCAAGAACCAAGGTGGTTTCAGGCCCACATGTCCAGGAAAGGGACAGTGTGTTTGATCTCCTCCAGTTATCATTGCTATCCTGAAATACACCCGAACTTTTGCAGGCTAGAGAAGTTCATGGTATTTTTAAGCTTTTCTGCTTTCTTCTCTCCACTAAAATGGGAAAGAGAGAAAAAAGCCTGTCATGTGACTCACAGCTGTTATTAAACATTTACAGTTAAGGTGAGATGGACCCTAAGCTGTTTTCTTGGGGAACCAGCAACCAAGGAGCTGCTCAGACTTCAGGCCCACGAGCACTTAAAAACAGCGTTGTGGCTGTGCTGTTCAGCCTTTCCCTGTCCCTTGTCCTCAGGTCCAAGTTGCTGGAAACACAGATCTTGGTATCTTGTAGAATGAGATGGTGCCCAGGTATTTATGGCCAAATATGCTTTATGTGTTAAGAGTCAGCTCTCAGTAGGGAGAGATGGACCAAGGATCAGGAGATGGGAATTGCCATAGGGCAGGCTGGCACATCTTGGCTTTGAGTGGGTCCTGTACTTGATAGAGGCTACAGTTGGAACTCATGGATTCCCTACTGGAGCTTGTCTACATTGTATGATCTATGATGTTACTTGCTTAGAGAGTCCTCAGTCATTTTACAATTTTTGTTTTTCCTCTGACCCATCTTCTCTGAATGCCTCAGAAGTGTGATTTTGAAATTTTTTTCTTAACCCCAAGCTTCTATTTGTTCCCCAGCTCAGATTCAGGTATATAGTAGTGACCAAGAATTATGTACTGAGATGATCAAAAGGCTTTGGTCCTCAAACTATCTTTGAGATGACACCTTTGACATCCTTCAGAGTCTTGGGGGTCTTGGAGCAAACACCAAAATTTCCTTTTACTGCTTCTTTGCATGCCCATCTGCCCCCTAGTGGAGGGTCATGGAAAAGGCAAATAGTCCCAGTGACTGGGTAAACTCACAGAAATAATAGCTAGTGTTCGTTGAGTGTCTGCCCTGTATTGAATGTTTTTACATGTGTTCGCATTCATTCCTCAGTGGTATGGGAGGGTCAGCCTTCTTTTTAAGAATGAAGCATTAAGGGGGAGCTGGTTGTAGGACACATGAGAACTCTTTGTTCAACTCTACAATTTTTGTTTTCTAAGTTTAAAACTATTCTGAAATAAAACATTTTAAAAATGAATTGTAGAAGGTTTGTCACATGACCATTGATTGATTGGGCTAGAATTTGCCACTCAAATCAGAGTCCCAAGCCTATGTTTGAAACACACTACCTGTGCCTCTGCACCCACAGCCAATTCCCATGTGCCACCTGTATCTCTGACCTTCAACATAGAAGGATAAACAGAGGGACTAGTGTGGGGAAAGCTAGATTCAGGCAGATTTTTTTCCCCCTCCAGTGCCTGGGATAGACTAGCTGTGCTTTCTGCTATTTTTTTTTTTTTAAGTTTTTTTTTTAAAATTTGAAAGAGTTACAGAGAGAGGTAGAGACAGAGAGAGAGAGGTCTTCCATTCGCTGGTTCATTCCCCAGATGGCCGCAACGGTCGGAGCTACGCCGATCCGGAGCCAGGAGCTTCTTCTGGGTCTCCCACGTGGGTGCAGGGGCCCAAGGACTCAGGCCATCTTCTACTGCCTTTCCCAGGCCTTAGCAGAGAGCTGGATCGGAAGAGGAGCAGCCAGGACTAGAACCGGTGCCCATATGAGATGCTGGCAATTCAGGCCAGGGCCTTAACCTGCTCAACACAGCACCAGCCGCTCTGCTACATTTTAACTCCCAGGCTCATGGCCAGGAAGTCCTACAGTTGAGCTTTCCTTGATCAGGTTGCTTTGCCTGTCTGTGGGCACAATTAGCCATACCTGCTGTCCTTGAATAATGACTGACAGTCATGATTCCTGTTCATAAAGCATTTTTCAGTTTACTGAATCTCTTGAACATAGTTATTCTGTGATGTAGGAGGGCAGGTACTGCCCTGTTGGTAAATGAGGAACGATTGAGGCATGATAGTAGACAGATGATGAAACTTTGAATATAGATTTTTGTTTTCTTCTTTTAAAAAAGATTTATTTTTATTTATTTGAAAGGCAGAGAGGAGGAGAGACAAAGAGATCTTCATGATGGTTCATTTCTCAAACGGCCATACTGGCCTGGGCTGAGCCAGGCCGAAGCCAGGAGCTGGCTGCTCCCTGCTGATGCTCCAGGGAAAGCAGCAGAAGACAGCCCAAGTCTTCGGGTCCCTGCACCCAGATGGGAGACCCGGAAGAAGCTCCTGGCTTCTTGGGTGCAGGGGCCCAAGGACTTGTGCCATCTTTTACTGCTTTCCCATGCGCATTAGCAGGGAACTGAATGGGAAGTGGAACAGCCAGGACTTGAACTGACACCCATGTAGGATGCTGATGTTGCAGGTGGTGGTTTAACCTGCTGCACCACAGTGCTGGCCCCTCTCTAACTTTTTGTAAGCACAGATTTCCTAGTCTCTGTTCTGTCTTGTTTGTGAATGACACCATTGGTACAAGAAACTTAAGTAAGTTGTTTATGAAGCTGTGGTGTCAGGGTGCCCATGTGGGGCTGTGATAACAGTGTTGAGGAAAATGTTTGTGTTTGTGGTTTTTTTAAAGAGTTGGGTTTAAGTCTGGTATGTGCTGCTGTTCCAGAATTTGGCCTCTGTCTTGTTCAATAGTTTATCTCATTCTAGAGGTCATTCCTCAGTGTAGATACTGAAGCCAGTGTCCCTCCTCCCTATTCTTAGTTTCCTTTCATTCTGGTTCCTGTATTTAGCTGCTCTATTCATCAACTGTCATTGGAGGCAGGGCATTTCACAAACATTTCCTTTGTGTATGAGTGTCTATTCTCTACTCAATAAATAAAGCAGACCTGTAAATATGTTGGACTAGTACTTTGACTGTCTCTGTCTACATATACCCTTTTTGCTCAGGTCTGCCATTTTAAGCATAGGACAGAATCTCTCTGGCCCTCTTGGACTTGAGCATTCTTTTCCTCCTTCCAGGAGTAGCAATTTCTAAGCAGTTGCTACCGGCTAACCAGCAATGTCACCAAACACAGGCAGCTGTGCCCTTTTCCTTCTAACACACTCACTAGCCTGCTTCTGAGTTGATGCTCAGTGATGTGACTTTGAATGGAGTCTCCTTTGGGCCAAGGCCAGCAGAGGCCACAAGCTGGGCATTCAGAGTGGGGTTTGTCCTTGATCTGTCCTGGCTGCCCTCTGCAAGGGAAGGAAGTAGGGAGGGAAGTCAGCTAACAGCCTGGGCTCCCAGCCAAGCCACTCTCCTTCTGCTTTGGGCAGTCTGTGTACTTACTCATTCAGCAAGCATTTATTAAGCACCTTTTGTCTATACTCCCTCCGAGAGAGAGGGAGAGAGCCAAGCAGAGACCCCTTGCAGGAGCCAGACATCCTTAAAGAGCTCTTGTTCTCAGAACATTTTCCTTTTTGACTGGAAGCCCAACATCCGCTGGAGCCCCCTGATGGGAGGCAACCGGAGATGGGAACAAAGAGACTGTTAACATTAATGAGGCACAGTGAGTGGGTATTTCCGCAGCCTCTAGAGGAAGGCAGGTTTTCCTCTTTCTTTTTGGAAAGTGACAGCTGACATGGACCAAATACAGACTATTTTTGGCTCTCGGGACTTAAAATGCTCTGAATCCTTTTTCTTAATTCCCGCTGTCCTGTCATTTGTTATCATCCTCCACTAGCAAATAAATAGAGCCTTTTGATCTTTGCCCAGTCAAGCATAGAATCAACTGTAAACAAAAGTGAACTTGTGACATAGGGACGGGGGAGAGACGTTGGCAGCTTATTCCTGTGCTCCTGAAAAGGAAGCTTCCTGTCTACTGTGCCAAGATTGATACCACCACCCCCCCCAACAGGCCTGGTACTCCAGCTGCCAGGGCACAGGGGAAAGCTGATGCCTCTTTGGCCTCTGCAGCTGAGAAGTCACTCTGGCTGTCCTTGCTTTTAGAGCATCATAGGAAAGGACCTGAGTGGCCACCAAGGGCCCTGACAGGCAGCTCTGCTTAGAACAGGGGTGGGGAAACTTTTTTCAACAGGGCCATTTGGATTTTTTGTGGGCCACACAAAATTATCAGCTTAAAAATTAGCCTGCTGTGGATTTATTGAATTTCGAGTCCTGCCTGTAGTTCCTTGCCCTGGGACTAGACCAAATGATTCTGTGGGCTTTATATGGCCCCATGGGCTGAATATTCCCCACCCCTGCTGTGGAACCTTTAGATCCCAGACCAGCATGGGCAGGTGGGAACTTAGAGTTCCAGGCCCTGCAGTTCTCTGTAGCGGAAGAAGAACTCTTGGTTACTGCTGTGAGAACTAGCATGTTCTGGCTGTGATGTGGAACTTTGAAAGTTGCTTTGCTATTCTGATCTTTACTTTCTCTACTTGTAAACGGGAATCATGATGCTATTTGCCTCCTAAAGCAATAGGAGGATTCGTTAAGATAGCCCCTCGCCTACTTGCCACAGGCCTGGCGTGCTGTGAGGGCTTCCTCAGCTTTAGCAGTGCTTGTTGTGGTGACCGAGGCTGCATCTAGAATGAAGGCCACCAATGACAACATAGCTCTTCCCCCACACCCTGCCACAGGCCCTCGGCAGGGAATCTAGGTGGGCTGGTTGGCTTGGCACTGATGAGCTCCCTCTCCCTCTTTGCTCTCCTTCCCCTTCTCTCTCTCTAGGGGACACTACACAGAAAATGAGAACTGCTCACTATCCTACCCCAGCCGAATTGGACGCGTATGCTAAGAAGGTCGCAAACAACCCACTGACTATAAAAATCTTCCCCAACAGTGTGAAGGTTCCCCAGCGGAAACACGTTCGTCGTACTGTGAACGGCCTCGACACATCAGCCCAGCGCTACAGCCCCTACCCGACTCAGGCTGCCACCAAGGCAGGCCTGCTTGCCATTGTCAAAGTGCCAGCCAAAAGCATACTCAAGGACTTTGACGGCACCCGAGCCCGATTGCTCCCTGAGGCCATCATGAACCCCCCAGTGGCACCCTATGCTACTGTGGCACCCAGCACTTTAGCTCATCCCCAGGCCCAGGCTCTGGCCCGCCAGCAGGCCCTGCAGCATGCACAGACCCTGGCCCATGCCCCTCCCCAGACGCTGCAGCACCCTCAGGGTATCCCACCACCCCAGGCACTGTCCCACCCTCAGAGCCTCCAACAGCCTCAGGGTCTGGGCCACCCTCAGCCCATGGCCCAAACCCAGGGCTTGGTTCACCCTCAGGCCCTGGCTCACCAGGGTCTCCAGCACCCCCCCAACCCCTTGCTGCATGGAGGCCGGAAGATGCCAGACTCAGATGCGCCCCCAAATGTGACCGTGTCTACCTCAACTATTCCCCTTTCGATGGCGGCCACCCTGCAGCACAGCCAGCCCCCGGACCTGAGCAGCATCGTGCACCAGATCAACCAGTTTTGCCAGACGAGGGCAGGCATCAGCACTACCTCAGTGTGTGAGGGCCAGATCGCCAACCCCAGCCCCATTAGTCGCAGTCTGCTCATCAATGCAAGCACTCGGGTGTCGACCCACAGCGTCCCCACACCAATGCCTTCATGTGTGGTCAATCCCATGGAGCACACGCATGCGGCCACAGCTGCATTGCCTACCACAGGCCCTGTCAACCTGCCCACAGGCATCTCTCGAGCCCCCACTGGCTACACTAGCGACCTCAAGCCAGTCGCCTGGAACCAGCACCAGCTGGCCCACCTACAACAGATGTGCAGCGAGGCTGGTGGGACACCAGCCCCTGGCCTAACAGGCAAGCATGCAGCAGGACGCGAGTTGGCAGGGCCTGGCTTTGTGGGCAAGGCCCCTGCCTACCCGCAGGAACTCTGCCTGGCACAGTCCTTTCATCTGAAGCCACCCCTGGAGAAGCCGACCCCATCCCCACCAGTCAACGGCCTGGCTGCCCCACTGGCCTACCCCAATGGTCACTATTTCCAACCCCTGTGGAACAACATTCTGCCCACTCCCAATAGCGACAGCTCGGGGTCTCAGGACCTCGCCATGCCATTCCACAGTGGGCAGCCCACGGGTGCACCCCTCGACTGTGCAGCAGCAGCCTCTGGGGCCCACTACCGAGCAGGGACTGGGGGTGGGCCAGTGGCAAGCCAGAACAGCTTGATGCAAACAGTGGATTACCTAAGCGGGGATTTCCAGCAGGCCTGCTTCCGAGAACAGAGCCTGGCCATGCTGAGCAAGGCCCAGCGAGCCCCTGGCAGCCGAGCCCCTGATCCCACAGATGGTCGGAGTCTTCATATTCAGCACCCAGGGTATAGATAGGAAGCCCCGGTGTCCTCTACAAGCAACACACCATACATCACCCTCCTAGGTTTAGTCTTACTTTTAAATAACTGGATAGTTTCAAAGTTTCACTGCTCCAATGTGATCACTCCTAGATGTCTGGGAAAGGGAATTTGGTGGGATATAATTGAGGACGGAAAAGGGGTCCTCTCATCCTCCCCTCTGGCAACTTTCTGTTTTTATGTTAGAACCTAACCACAAACCCTGATTTTTCTCTCTGTTCCCTGCCTGTCCCCTCACCTTGACCATTTTGACCAACCTCCTCCCATCTTCCCGAACCTCTCTGTTTTCCTTAGGACTGAAGTGTAGGCTAAGGGAAAGGCCCTAGGTGACATAGCCGTAGGTACCCGGGCCCCTGAGCTAGGCCTCTCCCTGTCTCTTTGGGACTAAGAAGCCAGACTTTCCAAGTGCTCTGGAAGCGAATTCTTTATTTGCCCAACGATCTTAAAATCAAAATTGACCCATTATTTACTTCCTCCCTGCTCCTTTCCATTCCTCAAGGCTTTGTTTTGTATCCACATTGATCCCGGAGCCTCTACGCTGTTCCTCACCACGCTGGACCACAAGGGCATCCTGCAGGTATTTGGCCATAGCCTTGAGACATGGGGGGAAAGTCTATCTTTATATTGACGTCTTGGTCCCTGACTCCCCTTTCCAGATGTGGGCAAGAAGTGCATGCCCAACTTGCTCTTGCCTTTGTCCTAACTTACCTGCTGCCCTCATCCCTTACCCTTCCTTTCTCCCTCTAAAACAAAAAAACAAAGAAACAAAAAAATAAAATAAAAATAAAAATAAAAAAAAAAACACAAAAACCCTACACTTACTTGAGGAATTAGGTAGATGAGGGATGATCACATTGGAGTTTGGAATTAAAAACACCAAAAAAAAAAAAAAAGTTAAAATACATTTGGTTCTCTCTACACTGGCTAAGAATATTGCTCTACACTGTAAGTTTTAAATGTCATGTTTCTGTATGAATGTAGTGTGGGTTTGAGTAGCATTGTGTATGAGTGGCCACAGGTACATTCGCTCTCTAGTCACCTCCCTTTGCAGCCCCTCAGTTTAATGGAGAAAGAAAGAAAAAAAAAAAACACAAAGCCTTAAGCTCTTTGAATTTTTCCTTCACCAAATGAGCATGGTTCTAACAGCTGGAGGCCGGCCTCTATTGGACACAGCCCCTCCCACCCCTGCCTGTTCTTAGCGCATACTCTCATCCACCCACTCCATGCTCAACACGTCTCATTCCCAGGTGGCACGTAGTTGACTAGAAATTTAACGCTTTTCTGTAACTCTAAATTTAGATTATGTTTTATTGTAAATTTTTGCACCCATCTCTGTTAAAGATGCACAGTTCGGCTTTTTTTTTTTTTTTTTTTTTTAAACCAAGTGAGCCCTTACCGTTCCTCTTGTCTCTGGGGAATGTGAACTGATGTTCTTATTTAAGATTCTGGGTTGTGTTTTCTATCCACTGTTCTTTAGCCAGAAAGCCTAGTGATCTGAAGCAGTGTGACTGAAGACCAGTTTTTAAATTATATGTTGGCAAGTTGCCTTATATTTAAAAACAAAAAAAGGGAAAAAAATGCCTGATTGTGTTATGCCAAATGATAGCAACATGAAATCCTAATTTATTGTTCCTTATTGTTTTCTTGCCGTCTGTGGTCACTGGTACCTCCTTGCCCTAAGCCCACAGAAGCACCTGCAGCCTCTGGCACAATGCCTCTGCCAAGGTGTTGGCCACCGTCTCACCCAGGGCCCCCTGCCCATCCCTACTTCTCTGAGTCAAGGAGCACCACTGTCTCCCCTGAACCCGTGCTTGATCTCCATACCAGATATTGCTGTGATCCCCCCCCCCCCCCCCAGCGCCTCTCCCCAAAAGGTGAGCTGCCATTTTAGGAAATCGGACCAGACACCGGCTTGGGGCTTTCAAACAACCTCAAACCCATCTCTTCCTGTGCAGGGGTGCAAATCTCTGAAGCTAACTCCCACCCCTAGTCTGCATGGAAAAATGTACTGTGATCTCCCTGCCCCCAACTGCCCTCGCCTTTGGTGTGAGATGTTTCCTAGTTCCTGAGTCCCTCTGCCCCTCTGCCAGCCAACCCCCAACCAGCAATAAGGGTCCAAGCCAGGGCCTCCTGTCCACACTCCCTGCGTCCATCCCACACTGCCCATTGGGGATACCTGGATTCCCCACTCTATCCACACACTGTAGCATTCATTCTCCATCTCTCTCACCTCACCTGTGGTGGTTTATGGGTGCGATGGGGTTTTTAAGATTATTACAAACCAGTAAAAAGAAAAAACTCACCTTTTGACCTTGTCCTATTCGTTTCATGTGAATGTTTGGAGTAATTTTTCTTCTAACAATTTCTGTCACGTCTCATCCTCATTTCTCTAAGGGGCCCCTGTAACCATCCTAGTCAAGAGCCCTTCCCAGTCCACTGTCCCAGGCTAGGTTCTGTGTTGGGTACAGGCACAGGGCTCCAGTTCGGTCAGTGCCTGGGGGAGCCCCGCTGTGCTGCCTGGAGCTCACAGTGGAACTGATGGGTAAGTATGGTTTGCTGCCTCTCCTGGTCCTGCCACTTGGACTCAGTGCCTCACTGAGAAATGAGGACCCAGTTTGCTAATGAGCCGACTACAACCACAGGCCTCCCCCTTTTTCCACCTCCAGTGCTTTGGAATCCTGAGTGCCTCTGACAGATGTGCAGTATTTCATATGCAACATGAAAACTCATTTTCTCATGCATTCCCCTCTTTTGTCAGCAAGGGGGGAACCCCCAAGAGCTCTCTTCTTCAGTTACCCTCCTCCTTGTCTGCTGATTGGGTTTGAGCTAAGATGTGGTGGGAGAGATTCCACAGAATCTGGGATTCAGGGAAGGTGGAATCTGGCCCTGGGTAGCAAGAGTCAGCAGGTGGCTTCCTGAGTGCTGATAGTTCACTCTTCTCTCCTCAGCATGCCCTCCGCTGCGGGGTGCCCATGTGTGAGAATGCTTTGCCACCTTTGTTCCTCATGCCACCCTGTGAAGGAAGCCACCTCCTGCCTATGTCAGATGAGGCCTGAGGTCAGCCTGGGGTCACAGCACTAGAGGGTAGAGGGGTGAGCCCAGCTTCCCCTCAAGTCAGATTCTTGGGCCGAAGTAGGTGCTTGATGAGTCCAGCTTACAGTTTGGTGCAGAAACTGCCCTGAGTTCTGCAAAGCAGAATGGAGGGCCAGGCCTGCCAGGTGGGCTGAGAATGGGGCTGACTAGAACTGCATTGCACACAACTTGAGGCGGCACCATGTGTTCTGTATGCACGTAGCCTGTAGGATCAGGGGAGTTTTATCCAGGCTGTCCAGCTCCATTGAGATGCTGGAAGGGTGGTTGCACCTGTTACTTGAAGGCATTTCTCCTGCTCTCTGTGGGGGCCCATGGTTTTCCCTACTAGTTTCTGGGCATCATTGTATGATGGGGACATTTCCATTCTCAGGTGGGCAGTCAGGGCCCTATGTCTTCCCCTAGAGCAAGGACCCTATGGTCCCAGGCTGGCTGGCTGATGGCCAGTCCTGTCACCTAATAATTCATCTCAGCCTTGATGTGGAAGGAAAGAACTACAGCCCTTGGACTTTGCTTCACTAGGGAAGTTCCCATACCCTGGGCCTCTTCTCAGGGCTAGCTGAGAGGAGTACAGCACTTTATGCTGACTGGTTCATTTAATCGTTACTGCAGTCTAGGTAGTGAGCAATATTCATTTTACCTGTGAGGGTTATTTGCCCCGTTGTAGCTAAGTAGCTTGCCAAAAGCAAGAGTAAAGACCCAGACCCAAATCTCTTGCCAAATAGAGGATGCTAGCCTCTAGGGATTGCTGGCATTTAAAACAGCCCAGACCCTGCCCAAAACCAGCAGAAGGATCACTGATAAGCCAGTTCAGTTCTTGGTTCTCAGCTGATTGATGTATGTACAGAAAGCAGAAGAGCTAGGGATGAAAAAGATGGAAAAATCCCAAGTAAGAGCATTGTAAAAAGGGGAAGGCAGGTACTTGGCCTAGTGATTAAGCCATCACCCTTCCCATACTGAGTGCCTGGGTTCAAGTCTTGACTCTGCTTCCCATTCCAGTTTCCTACTAATGTGCACTCCAGGTAACAGCACAAATACTTGGGTCCCTATCATTCACATGGGACCCCCGGATGGAGTTACTCCCTCCTGGCTTCAGCCTGGCCCAGCCCTGGGTGTTGCGAGCATTTGGGGAGTGAACCTACAAGTGGGAGCTGTGTGTCTCAGATAAAAATGTAAACACTTTGTGGAAAAGCAGAATTAAGAAATGATTATTTTGGTGCAAAATTTAATGCATGTGGTGTCTTCAAAGAGTCCATGGGACATGCCTGTTTCGAAAAAATTGGACTCCAAAATATTCCGCACCAAAATACACATTTCCCCAGGGCTTTGGAGTTCCTTAAGCACTTTTAACTCTGCCAGGAACATGCATGATTTCATTAACTTCAGTACAGCCCATTAAGATTGGCCCTTTTATTATGGTGATAAAAGGTATTTCACTCAACTATTGTATTAGATGAAGTACTGCACACAAAGGGCTTAGCAGTGTATCTTCCCAAGAAACTACAACAAGTGGTAGCTATTACCATTAGACCGAAACCTGCCAAGGCAAAGGTGGTAGTCTGGACGAGTCTGGGTTCAGGACCTGTACCCCCTTCATCTCGCCACCAGAGGGCAGCAGCAGGCGGCTGTAGTTCCCTCGGCATCCACGAGAGGGCGGTTCCCGCCGGCAAATGATCCTGAGGGCTGGCAGCACCAGCTTTTCTCTGATCCTTTGCCTTCCGGGCCCTAACCAACCCAGATGAGTCAGGCTGGAACGAAGTTAATAAATACAATCCAAGATTTATTAAAAATCAGGGCTCCCCTGCTGTGCCCTCCTGGTACTAAGGAAATAAATAACCAGAAGGGGCACAGCCAGGGAGGAGAAATCTGATCTCAAGACAGATTGTTTTAACAGCCCCCCCTCCCCTTCCCAACTCCCACCTCCCCCCTATGGCTCTTGGGATATAGCACCTGAGCAGGCACCCCAGTCCAGATAGTGTGGCTGGCACCAAGGCGTGTCTGCCCTGCCCAGGAGAGGAGACAGGCCCTTGGATCACATTTCCAGCCCTTAATGATCCAAGACCTGCTCCGCCCAGGGCCCAGGGCTGAAGCACCAATTGGAGGCACCTGAGGGTGGTGGCGGGGAGACTGGGTAACAGAACCTAGGCAGCAGAAGCAGCTGAAAGAGGGTCCGGCCCCCTCTCCAGAGTCAGCCAACGTCTGGCTGAGGTGACCGCCCATCCCCCTCTCCCCTAGAGCCCCTGCTGGCTCTGCGCTCAGCTGAGGATCTTCCTGGGAAGTTCAACAGAGGCACGGATGAAGACGGCATCATCTCGCACATAGTTCCGCTTTCGGATATCCTGGTGGGAGATGAATTTGGGGTACCCAAAGCCCAGAGAGCTCTCATCCAGAGAGCCACGCCATGTGCCTGGCTTTTGGAAGTTCTTCCAGTTTGGGTCAGGGTGGAAGGTCTCAGTGACGTGCTGTGGCTTAGCCAGCCCAGGGTCGCTCTGATCCAGCAGGGAGAAGGTGACACGGCGGGCAAAGGGCCACTCAAGGAGATTGTCAAAGGCACCCGGCAGTACGCGGATGTAGAGGGAGAGATGTGTGCCCTCACCACTGCCGTTGCCATTGAGGAACGCAGACACCTGCAGCTTGTAGCCGTACTTATGGGTGTAGAAGGCTGGGCTGAAGCACTCAAGGTTCGGCTTGGCCTTGGCCTCCTGCAGCCGCCGCCCATAGCTGCCAATCTTCCAGATGAGCACACCGTCGCTGCCCACAGACAGCTCCTCAAGCTCTCGCCGCAGCTCCTGCAGCTCCTGCC